CAGGTATCTTCTTATTGATGTCTTCAGGACTAGACCTCCCCACCCCAATTATCTGGCCTACAATTCCTGCCCAGGTATGAAGCACAAAAGGTGACATGAAGTCAGGGGTTCTGGGGAACCATTTCTGTGGTTTATAAGTAGGTTTGGTGCTCAAATAAAATATTCCATGATCAAGTACATTTAGAAAAGTCCAGATTAAATGAAGTTGAAGTGAAAAGGAGTATTTTCTGTAGGAATATCTTTTAATAGGATAATTTGTCCCGAGAATCTCTGAAATAGGTGTGAAGTCTATAGCATTTTGCACACTTATTTGATGACAGAGACCTTTTCCAAAGAGCATCTTAAGAAACTAGTGTTCCATGAAACACATTTTGGGAAACACAAATCTAAGTATATTGGGTCATACCCATAATTACCGGTACTTGAAGTTGGGTATAGTATATCTTGGAATTTAGCCCCTTTCTCTAAGAAAACTTTTGGTCTAGTTGTGGCTTTCTGCATGCACTGTCTATTCCTGACATCTGACAAATGATTATGCCTTGACCTCTATCTGATTTAGGCCACTAATTCTTTATCCTCTGACTCTTTGCAAGATTTATCAACAGAATGTATTTTGTGGTCTCAACCCTGACAGCCTTTGTCTATCTTGTTACTGCCCTACCTTGACAGAATACAAATGTCCCCTTTATGAGTTGAGTGTGTATATTGTAGTACTAATTCTTCATTCATCAGCCACCCCAAATAAAGGCTGGGTGTGGGGTAGTGTTAGTGGCATAAAGAAACATCACTTACTGGCCTAGTTAAATATAAATATCAATAAAATACAGTGGAGTTACATTATATGGGCATTTGTAATATGCAAATTCAACTAGACACACTTTATCTTAGCCCCCAGATAGTGAGAAAAAATAATTTAAATGCAATGCAGTTAAATTTTATGTTAGGCAATGCTATTACTGAGGGCCCCACATAGTCTAAAACTTACATAATTAAAAATTAATTTTTTATACAACTGACAAAGGAAGGAAAATATTACTTTGCTAGCTAAAGTGGCACCACCATAGACTGTAGCATAGACATGGTTTCCAATTCACTGGCCCTCCAGTTTTAAAATTATGTAATTGTTAATAGAAATTTTTTAAAATTCTATTATTTCAAATGCTGCCACTCACATGAGAGTTTATCATTTTTATGTTGCACTCTCAAATTTGCATACTTCTATAAATTTTTTCTGCACTGTAGTATGGGTGCTTTCACCCACCATCCCACTCCATTTGTGCAGGGGATTCAGTCTGTTAGAAGATATGACTCTGCTATTTCTTTCCTTCCTGTGCATCTTTCATAGTAGAAAATATCACTCCATCCTATAAATGCAAACCAATTATTTAATCTGGCCTCTCCCAAAGACATTTAAATCTACTCAATGTTGGAAAAATGGTTGTACTGAATTAACTGAAAGTTGTTATGTCATTCTCCAAAATGTCATGTAGTTTTAAGGGTCTTCAAAGATAATTTTCAATATGCCTGATTCTTCTTTTTATGAATGTGTCAACTTTAGCACTTTACCTCCCACATAAAATGTGACTCTACTTGAAGATAATGGGAATTGTCAATTGCTGACACAGCATCCAATACTTGCTTCTTTCTTCCTAACCAAACCCTATTTTATTCAGGTAGCTACCCCTCATGTGACTCCTTACATGACTAGGGAAGATGAGCCTAATACCAGTTCCAGGAGTATATCTTGATTTGTCTAGACTGATCATGGTGTTCCCAACCCCCTTGGAATTAACTAGTTTTAGACCAGTCAGGTAACCCAATTCTAGTCCATGAGATATGAGAAGTCTATTAAGGGCTTCTGGAAAGGTTTACTTGATTCTTAGAAAAGGATAGAGTGAGTAATAGTCTCTCATCTTCCTAAGCGTGTTGATGTGACTCCAACAGCTTTTGCCATATTGCTATCAGTACTCTAAGGATGTCAATATCAAGAGTGAAGGAGAGCAGAAGAGGATGAACCCTAAGTCTTTGAAGATATTGCTTAGTTCCCAAATCAACCAATCCTGAGGTCTCCCCAAGCTCTTCTTCTTAGGTAATGTATTAGTCATTTGAGTTTACCATTTTAAAATACCCTATTGGGTGGCTTAACCAACAGAAAGTTCTCACAGTTCTGGAGGCTGTGAAGTCCAGGACCAAGGTGCTGGCTGATTCAGTTCCTGGCGAGGGCTCTCTTTTTGTCTTGCAGACAGCTGCCTTCTTGCTATGTTCTCTCATGCCTTTTCCTTGGTGTATATGAGCCGGGAGAGGAAGAGAGTTCTCTCTCACTTGTTCTTCTTATAGGGCCCACCAATCCTATCAGATTATGACCCCACCCTTATGACCGCATTTAATCTTAATTACCTCCTAAAAGCACTATCTCCAAATACAATCACATTGGGGATGAGGGCTTCAACTTATGCATGTGGAGGGGACACAACTCAATTGATAGCAGATAATATAACAAATGTCCTTATGCTGTTCAAACAAATTTAAATTGTTTTTTCTGTTACATACAGCTGAAGACAGCCAAACAGATATCATATATTATGAAGCAATACAGAAAGGATAACATGAGAAGATCAAGGGCTATTTTCCTTTTCTAAGAACCAAGAAGATATAGAGTTAAAAATGGTTAGTCCATTGCTGTTATAGGGCATATCACAAGTTGCTGATTGTACATATATGTGGTATCAAGTTAATATAAACAGTCCAGCCCTTAGGGAGTTTTTCAGTTATAAAACAAACATTTTTCTAAGATCATGTGCTCTGATATAAAAACCATACTTCAGCCTGGTTCTATCATTATAAAGTTCTGGCAAGCTAGAGACGTTAGTTGGTGATTTTATCAAGCAAGACTTCTAACTAATGGCTTGATGAAACCATCACTGCACCATAAAACACCATAAAAAAATGGAAATGACGGGGGCCGGCCCGGTGGTGCACTGCTACAGTGCGCCACTTGGGAAGTGCGGCGGCGCTCCCGCCGAGGGTTCGGATCCCACATACAGACCGGCCGCTCACTGGCTGAGCGAGGAGCGGGGGCAACACCGAGGGTTGCGATCCCGTTGCCGGTCCCGGTCTGGTACGGGCACGACACTGAGGGTTGCGATCCGTTGCCGGTCACGAAAAAAGACAAAAAGGAAAAAAAAAATTATAAGTTCTGTTTCAGCCTTTGCACTTGCTGTTTTTTTTTTTCTTTTGTCTTTTTTACTGCCCGGTAACGGGATCGCAAGCCTCGGTGTCG